AAAACCAGGTTAAACTACAGGGGGAAACATCTGACGCCAGCTCACGCAGCTGCCTTAGCACGGAATTCACACTTGCAGATCCCCCTTCCCATGTGAAGTTGTTAACCGGGCGTGGTGGTGGTGGTGGCGGCTACGCACGTCGCCTGCAATCAGCACTCTGGAGGTAGCAAGGGTTGGTGTATCACACAAATGTTGAGAAATTACCTTTCTCGCTTGCCAGGAGAAGTCAGTGCAGGAAATGTGGACCCACCTCTTCCATCTGTGTGGGATAGAGTATCGCCCCCCCCCCACGCTTGGGTTTTCTCCGGGTAATTCAGTTTCCTCCCTCATGTGTAAACACTCGTTAATTTGCTGAAAACACCTTCATATATAGGGGAGTGGAGGGGTGGGGACTTAGCAACGGCTCACCACGTGGCTGCCTCTTTCCCCGCTTGTCTGGTTCCTCGCGCCTCTGAAGGCGTCCTCTGTCTTCGAGAGCGCATGCGATTACTGTGTGGCACGTTGCAGGTTGAAGTTAAATTAATTATATATGTTATACTTAAGCAACAATATCACTTGTAATGAACCAAGAGGATGATGATGATGATGACGACGATGATGCTGATGATCATTTTTGTAGAATGACTGCTTTTGGTGTTCCACCAATGTTAGGTGGCTTTGGCTTCATTATCATTGTAAGATCATTAACGTGAATGTCCTTCCCCCGCACCTCTGATTAGAATGGTTGGCTACGTACGGTGTGAAAGAAGTTCAGCATCCATACATAATGGAGCTGGACTAGCCCATATAAAACTGAAAAAAAATCCGTTCAAATGGGCATTTTACGGCATTAAACCAGTTTCATGCCTTAAGCCATTGGTTAAATTCTATATTTTAATAGGTGAGGCCAATCAGTCGCTCCGCAGACCACTTTAAGCCTCCCACAAATGTTTTATTGGTAACAGAGATTCAAATGGTGGGCCAAGTTGACCCCTCGCACTGGATACGAACTGGTCATCCGTGACTGGGCAAAGGCCACGGAAGTCACCACACTTTAGAACTTTGATAATCTCGTGTTCACTGGCTCGGTGCCAGGACACGGCCATTATTCGCGTCTTGAGCTAGCCAAGCCAGCCAGGCTCGCCCTTTGACTTCTCTGACGCATTTCATTCAACTGCACGAAAGAGTCATTTGCTTTGCCAGGCGGAGTGGCAATCAGACCATAACCCCATGCAGGTGATCTCACTTCGCCCTATTTACACTAGCCAATATAAATCGATTAAACAAAACCATTTTGACTGAAATGTTTAAAAAAATATATATATACCACCTTTAGTTGGGTTATTATTTGCAGTTTTCTGGGAGAGAAGTACATTTTAATGGGAGGCTTCTGGTCTCGGTGTGCCCTTACTTGGTCATCAATACAAGCGATCTGTCTGGATTTGTTTGAACTAAACTTTACGATAGTCCTGCTTATAATTAGGCTCTGTGCGCAGACAGCTTGGCGAACCTGGCCGCCCAATCCGAACCAGTTTTACTTCTTAACGGTAGGCACAGGGGCCAATTGGCCTGGGCTGTGGTGCCGTTTGCACCCTTGGGCTGTCAGCCGGGTCTGTCTGACCCACCTCTCTCATTACAGTCTCGCTGCTGGCGATGATATCAACGCACTGTAAGTATGGCAAGCAGCGTCTTGTGCAATACGATCCGTGGATAGGGACACGCCCTCATATCGTGCGTGTATGTGTTACGCTTTGCTACAAACCCGGTGACTGCAGTTCGATTCCTGTCCATGGCCCAATGCCAGTGACAAGTATTTGAACCAGTCCAGGGCCTCCCCCTCGGTTTACTCAGCCTCAAGTTAGCGCTAGGTGCAGCGTATAAACATAAGCGCTGGGGAGACAAAGGTGGCCGGGCGTGGTGCTGGCCACCAACCCCTCGCGTGCCGTGCAAGTCTTTATAAAGTGCTCGCTAACAGCTATAAGGGGCGATCTTCATCTTTTGTGTGTACGCACATGTGTTTATATCTGTGTTTATAAAAATAGTGAAATGTCACCACTCACAGGGAGGTGGTGGCTACTTCCTTCGACCTTTGAGGCTCGACAACCCTCACAGGGTCTGCCCCCCGGCACCTCTCCCCGCCGCCTCCCCCACCCACCTCCTTGCCCCATGATGTTGCTGGGTTGAGGGCCGCTCCATCATAGAAGACGTTGCAATAACACTCAGCACGTTTGGATGTCGTGGACTGTCAGGAGGCTTATCGATGCCTGGTTGTGGTCAAGAATGGCTTCCTAGGCCTCAAGCATGGCTCGTGTGCCGATGATCTTGCAATAGCGGCTCACTAAGAAGGAGTTGGACACTGTCGTTGAATCTAGAGCGTGCCACTAAAAATGTGAGCTTTTACTATCAGCCCCACTAAAATACAACGGCTTCCTGGGAACTCATTGCCAACAAGTTGGTGCTCGCCGAACTGCATTGGCTTTCGGTTGACGATTATAAGGCCGTGCGCATTACACACAAAGTGCTTGCCACAAATGAACCACAATACCTTGCTGATCTCGTCAAAGGGGAGCATAAGCCATCAGGCAAACTCCGGTCATCCTCGCAGTGGCTTTTGGATGACTATCATACGAAGACGGTGGTCACCGCATCGCGTGCTTTCAGATGTCCCTTCTGCGGCCGTCTAGAACGCTCTTCCGATATTAGGAAGCCACTGGAGCTGTGCACTTTTAAATCATCATCTAGATTGACGTACTCATTTTTTTTGAACAGTTTTCTGAGTGTAGTTTGTTGTCCTTCCCCCGCACCTCCGATTGGCACGGTTGGTTACATATGGAGCGAAATAAGTTCAACATACATATGTACATCAAACACTTCATGCCGTCAGTACTCGAGAAGTAATGGGGTGGCTGTGGAAAGGATGGACGAGTTCCCTGTACTTGTGAAGTGTACTCATGGCCAGCTCTAGTGTTGCAGCGGGAGGTCTCACTGAATCAGTCGAGCTGCAATATCTTTTAATCGGTTCTGCGACTAAGCTGCCTGGCCTATCACTCCACACAAAGCTGCTACCTGGCCACAATCATGCCCTCCCTTTTTGTTTGTAAAACATGAACCCCTTCAAAGAAATTCCTTCACTGGCTTGAAATATTCAGGCTGCTTGCCTACGATCCATCCTGTTCTTAGCCAGATTAAATTGTAAGGAGCTCACCAATCTTTAAAAGATCTGGACACTGCTCCATCAGTGAGTTCTGGCAGGCGAGGCTGCCCTTGGCTGGGTCATGTAGCCCGCATGCCCAGTCACCACATGCCCAAGCAGCTTCCGCTTGGCCGGATAGATGGTGCTAAATGGGTGCGGCACATGTTAGAGAAGAGAAGAGGTTGGCTAATGTGGTACAGTATGACTTTGAGCCGATTTAACTTGATGAGGACTGGTACCAGCGCTGTCAAGGTCGGCATCTCTGTGGTGGAGGCTCGTGACAGACACTACTGGGCTACAGGAGCGCCATTGATGAACATTCCACATTGTATGCATGTATGTTGAACTTCTTTCGCATCGTACGTAGCCAACCGTGCTAATCGGAGGTGCCGGGGAAGGACAACAAACTGAACACAAAAAGAAAACATTGACATGATGGGGAGCCAATTCCCCATCACCTACCCTCATCCATGCCCAGCTACAGCACCTATCTATCTTATCACTTCACGCATGTGCCCCATACCTCGCTGCCTCTCATCCACGTTGCACTCGTCCGTCACCCTCATTCACCGTCACACTCCACCTTATTCCTCCTTCACTACCGCTGCAACATCACTTGGCTCCTTTCCCAGCCCCCGTCCCTCCATCCCTTCCGTCACCTCCCTCACTTACAGCCGTTCCACCCCATCCGCTCATCCACCTTTTGCCCCTTTCTGTTTGCGTTGTAAAGTGCCCTGGACAGGGAGCTATATACATTCTAAATGGGATCGAGTAGGATTACCACTGCAACTGATGTTTTTTTTTTATATACTTCATGTTTCAAATGCACTATCTGCTGAGCCCATAATAATCCCTCTTGGGGTTGAGCACTACTTTTTGGGGAAATCAACAGTGGTGTGGATAGACTGGCCCTTGCCTTGGGAATGTGTAATTTCCACTGCATCTTTTGGGGCTGCCGATGGAGACGGGCAGGGAGACACTCGTTTGCCGCTACAAATCTTAACGCGGCCTCTGACCAACTCACCCGGAGTGCGCCCGGTCTCGGAAGATCTCGAAAGCTAAGCAGGTTTGAAGCCTGGATAGTGCCTGGAAGGGCAGTTACCATGCATAGCACCGGCGTTATGACTGTGGTCGGCTGCTGCGGGGTATCCCAGTGGCGGGATGTTGACTACCTCTCCTGGTGTACACGAAGTCATGGATTCGATCCCGACCCTGACACCTGTATATTTGGCATATGCATGTTCCCTCCGTGGTCACGTGGATTTTTCTCCGGCTCCTCCGGTTTTTCTCTCCACGTGTAGAATGAACGTCACGCATTTAGAGTATTTGGCTGCAATAAATTTCCACGCGATAAGCCCCTTCGTTGAGTTATAATTTCTGGCCGCCGGGCTCGTTTCTGAAAAAGAGCTACATAGCTCAGTGGGCCTTACCTGGTAAAATAAAGAACATTGTTTTAGTATCGTTATATAGGTTAATTTTTAGCAGCGCAGCAAATTTAGTGTGCCATGTTCTCGTGTACGCTCGCTGCGTTCACCAATCCCTGCTGGTCAGTGTCACCAAGTATGGTCAGATAACTCTCGTAGCTTCCAGCAGTGCATTACTAAAGCGGTTGGTACATTGGCACACAGCTACAACGTCTCCAGGCTGAACATGGGACCGATGTCTCTCTGCGTTTGTGTGTTTTGGCGGCGGGGGGAGGGGCGGTTGGGTGCGGGGACGCTTGAGAACTTTTGCCCCATGTGTGCTGGCCACCCACCCCCTCGTGTGCTGTGCTGAGCTTCATAGGTGCTCTAGCAGCACTTGCTCCCAACAGTTTTTTTAAGGCTACACTAGGCACCTTTGTCTTTGGGGCGGGATTTCAGTGGTTAGCGCATTGCCCCACAAACCCAACAATCCAAGTTCGATTCTCGCCCATGGCTGAGTAAGAGTGTGGCAAATATCTGATACCGGTTCTTGGATTCCCCTTAGGGCAACTCAGCCTTAAATGAGTACCTGACGTCGTGTGTGAACATCAGTACTGGGGAGACCACGGGAGTTAGTTGGGTGTGGTATAACCCATCCATTTTTCGCGCCGTGCCAGTGCCGTGCCTTCACAAGTGCATACGTGCTCGCGAACAGTTCTGACCACACCAGCCTGTGCAGGCTACACAGGGCATCTTTGTACATGTGAACGCACGCGTGTGTGCATTCGAAACCTCGGGCCATGTATTCTTCTTTGGGAACGGATGCAGGCGACGATGCTGATGATGACGACACAGGTGGAAGAAGAGGAGGAGGGGGTCGGGGTGGTGCCGGCGGCGGTGGTGATGGCGGCGGTGATGGCGGCGGCCTGAGCAGCAGCGGCCATCGCCACGTTCACAACGGCCGTCGCTTCGCATCGGCGGCCGCAACGGCGACATCCAAACCAGGCGATGATGACACTGAAGAAGATTTCAATGACGATGACGACGACGACGATTACGATGACGACGATGAAGATGGCGACGATGGCGATGACGGCGACGGAGCAGATGAAGAGGAGGGAGATAGAGAGGCGGGCGGGCACGCGGCGGCTCGGAGCGACCTGCTCACGTGCGGATTCTGCCACCTCTCGCTGCCGCTCTCGCAGATCCTGCGCTTCATCGAGCACAAGACCCGCGCGTGCCCGGCTCCGGGTTCGATTCCCGCGCCGACCGGGCTAAGCGCGGTGCTATGGCCTCCTGACCAAGGCCCCCGCGCCGGCCCCTCCGCCCTCACCGGCTTCTCCCCTCGACTCCTGGCGACGACGACGTCGTTCGAGCATCCCGGATCGCAAGCCGGTGAGCAGTGGCCGCCCGTTTGTTTGCTGCAATACTTTTGCTGACCTCCCGCACGGCGATGCTCGATTTATCCGCCCCGCGGGGATGAGTGTTGCGTCTTTTGATGACGGGCCGCGCACCCTTGCCTGCAGTGGTGCCTGACCGCAAAATTGGATGCAGGCTTAAACTGAGCTTTGGAAATGACGAACATTTTGCCCTCATTCGCCCAAAAAAGTGGTACCGCCTGTTTTGATATCTTTGTACCTTTTTTTGATTGAAGCGACGCAAAATTCTCATTGGGAATTCATGGGAATGTCACGAACATTTGGCTGTTTTTGCAACGCAGTCTTCATCCTCTTGGTATGCGCTTGGGCCAACGTGGCACCCATCCCGTCCTGGCAAAAGGTTTCATTTGTCAATAGACCGGGGTGGGGTGGGGGGGGGGGAGGTGGGTGGGAGGGTGGCGTTTTCAGAATGGCCATCCTGCAAAAGTGCCGAACGGATTGAAATGTGAGAGCTCTGGGCTGTGTGGCGGGTGGGGCAGCATGGTCCATCCAAATCTGTGCAAGTGACTTTGAAGTTCTCGGGGCCCTCGTGTGTGTGCGGCCTGGAATGCCGTCTGACAGATGCTTACAGCATTCGTGACGTTCCCTCGAATGAATAGCAAACTCTTTGAGAAAGTCATTATTGGGCCTTTTTTGGAACACCCCTCTATAATTTCCCGTGCTTCCCATAGCCTCCGGGCTTCATAAACATTCTTGTTTTAGCTTTCGCTTCGCGTCTCTTCCAACTGTTATTCCAGTTTCGCTTTGGGGCGTCGTGTTGTCGTATGATGAAGATCGGCAGCGGTCGTTGTGATGTGCTGCATCCGAGAATGGCCCCGGAAGCAGATGTCAAAGAATTACTTCAGGATTTTTTTGCGAGGGCAGTCTTTTTCGACTGAGGCATATGTACAAAATTATTCTTATTCATCTTCTTCGTCGTCTTCTCATGTGCTTCCACCACAGTCACGTGATGATGATGGTGATGATGATGTGGCCCGGTCTGTAGCCCTTGCGAGGTCATCCAAAGTGCAGGGCTCAGCCCAATAGATGTTCCATGGTCTGTGTGTTTCAACGAAGTCATATGCGTCAGTGTCATTATAGTAGCTCCACTTCCTCTGGAATTTGACTCTTGAGCTGCCCACTGCCGTTGTGAGTGGGTGGTTGGGTGAGTCATTGTGTGAGTGGGTGGGTGGGTGAGTGACTGAGTGGGTGGGTGAGTGGGTGAGTGGGTGAGTGGATGAGCTGCCCACTCCCGTTCAGAGTGAGTGGTTAGGTTAGTCGGTGAGTAAGTGGGTGAGTGGGTGTGTGTGAGTGGGTGGATGAGTGAGTGGTTGGGTAAGTCGGTGGGTGTGTGGCTGAGTGTGTGTGGGTGAGTGAGTGGGTGAGTGACTGAGTGGTTGGTTAAGTCGGCGAGTGTGCGAGGGAGTGGGTGTGTGAGTCAGTGGGGTGGGTGAGTAAGTGAGCTGCCAACTTCCGTTTGAAGGCAATTTAAACACGTCCATGTCGGCCGATATTTGTCAGTGCCAGCGGTGACACCGAGGCGTCTCTGTGCGTGGTGGCGATGTCCGTGGTGATCGTGTCAGGCCGTGTTCAACACATTTCCAGTTGTGCGGCTGTCAGTGATTTTGTTAAGTGGTTCTGTTGGGGCTAGGAAGCGGCTTTCCTGTGATTCAGGCAGCTTACAGCTGCGATGTGGCCACGTAGCTTATGTCGAGTGTCATCCACCTGTCTGCAATCCATGTCTCTGTCTCTCTGTGTCTCTGTGTCTCCCTGTGTATCTCCCCGTGTGTCTCTCCCCGTGTGTATCTCGCCGTGTGCATCTCCGTGTCTCTCCACGGTGTAGCCACGTGGCGCATTTCGATTGTCCCAATCCCGTGGTGATCGTTCCGTCTTGCCGGTGACTGCCGTGTGGCGGTGTGATTCCGGCGAGCGCGTAAGCGCTGCTCACATTCGCTGGTTTCAGGCGTCCGCTCATGCATCAGCAGCCGTGTCACGCTCTGCGCATCCGCGAATTCTGCTGAACGCCTCAACCACCAGAAATTACCGTTCCATGAGATGCATCCATTCCCTTCCTCAGAGGATCTTGAAATGGTCATCCATTTATTTGTTTAAGCCGGACTAAGATGACTTTATTTCACTCTACTTAGCGTCACCTCTGCTCTCTCTTATTCATAAACTGCAGCTGCTGCAGGATGCTTAGGGGGGTGTAAGATGGCTCGGAACAAATCGCACCACTTCTTTTTGAGCTGGATCAGATACCTGTAAGCTTACTGAATCAAGTTTTATACAAAAATTCAACGGCCCTAAATCACTTGAAATCACCCCCCCCCCCCCCCGTCACCTCAGCAATTTCCCCGTACCTTGCGCTACGATCCTCTGGATCGGCACGCGCCGGTCCGTCCTGAGACTTCTTCTCAAAAGCGCAGGGAGAGAGACTCAACCCTTCTCGGCAGAAGGAGCCAGACACTGTAACTCGGGAGGCAGCCAAAATGCTTCTGGCTGTCATTACACTTTGCACTGGGAAAAAGGTTGCAGGGGCTTTTCTATTTGTCCGTGCTTCCCATTAAGGGGTGCGAGTCTGGGGAATCAAAATATCATTACAAAGCTTATGTAAGGTACGTGGAGGCACATGTGGCAAAATGTGTCATGCACATTAATTAATAAATTACTCGTTTTCTCTCTCTCTCCCTCTCTCTCGCTCCCCGCGCTGGGGAGCATGCCTTTTCTTTTGTAACCCTGCAGAGATTGCTCATCACGTATGCAAAACCAAAGCTATCGGTCCCCAGAGCTGGCATTTCGTCGGATGAATGCAACGCAGCGAGATTGCATTTGGCGTGTGGTCATCGGTGACCCGGCAGAGGCCATCAGCTCGCCGAACTTGCGAACCCCCGCTATGGTGCGGGCAGCTTGCATTTATTTCTAGGATCGCTGTGGTGCCAGCATCGGCGCCGGGCACTGACACGTGCTTACTCCCCTGGGTCGCCCCGAGACCTGGAAGAATTGTAAATATTTAATTTTGTCACTTCGATGTGAGTCGGATGCAGTAATGATATCGCCACACGTCATTGTAATGTGTTCCTGTGATCGGGAACCCGCTCCAGAGTTGTCTGTCTCTCTCTCGCTGTCTCACTGCTGCTGCTGCTCCTAGTCGCTCACATTTGCTCAATTTTACTTTGATTTGATGGTGACCTAAAACAAGAGGACAACAATGGATCATGCTCATAAGGCCGGGTGCTTATTGTACACATTCCTGCATGTTGTTTGAAAATTGGGAATCGCACAGGATTTCCCTTTCTTCAGTTTTCATTCGGATCACTGCTATTTTGTTTTTTTACACCCCTCGGTATTGTCCGTGATTCATCATCGTCAGCCATGGTCGATCCACTGTTGGATCATCCCCCTGCAAGCCGCCCGCCATCTCTCATGATCCCGCTGTGTGTAGCAGTCCACCTCGAAACCGGAACCCAAGCCGGTTTCACTTCTCCATCTCCACAGTAAACGTGTCCTTGGCTGCGACTCTGTTGCAACTCTCGCCCAGCGCAGTTTAAAATGACTCGCAAAGCAATTGAAAGGGAAAGTGGTGGTGTCGGCAGCTTGCGTCCACGCGAGGAAGGGCGGCAGCAGCAGCAGCGGCAGCCACCGCACGCGGATCGCATGGTGCACGGAGCCTGTAGGTCAGAAGTCGGCGTACCCTTATAAAAAAAATATATCCTGAAACAGAAGATAAGAGGCTGTGTACAACCACATTTGCGAATGTGATTTGTAACTTTAATCTTTACTCGTGTATCGAGAAGTTCAATTTGAATGTGCAATTTTATTGAGGGACTGTGTTGTCGTCGTTTTGGTGTGGTCTGGGACCGTGCTTGCTGTTGTTGTGCTGCCTTGCCCAAGCTTGGGAATTGATGTACTTATGCAATTTTAACGTGCATCCTTTATTTATTTTTCTGATGTGCTTACCTTCCCTATACTTTGCACCGCTATCGTGTTTTTGTATTGTTTGTTGTTGCCACTTTCTGACCCGCACCTACTGGACATGTGTGAAAAAGAGCTTCACAGATATTCGGATTTCTCCAGGATAAATAAACATTCTGATTATAATTCTTAGCACCCTTTCAACCAGGATGCGGCCCTCTGAGACGATTCACACACGCCTATGCCGATCCACTGCTGGATGAAGGCCTCACCATCCCATGTCTGTCTCAGAGGGGTTGATCAGTCTAACCATACTTGACCATGCTGGTCAAGTGCCGGTTCGTGAAGGAGCCACCCAGTACCGCTGCAGATATTGTTCGCCGCTCGGATTTCCGGATCCATAGCGCGACTGTGTTAGCTGCCACACCACCGCTACCCCCCCCCCCACCACCGCTTAACATAGCTTCCCCTTTTTAATGAGTTTTTTTGTGGGTGAGTTGGTGTGTGTGTGTGAGTGAGCATGAGTGTGTGGAAGTTTGTATGTTCTCCCCCTGATCTGCATAGTGAGTGGTGTGTGTGGATGAGTGTGTGTGTGAGTGCGGGCGTTCGACACTTCACGTTGCCTCAAGGTGCACATGGCCTGGCACAAGCGTCGTGGTGACGTCACCGCCACTTAGTGGCGAATGGCGGTTGTTGTTATTGTTTTGTGAGTGCTTATGACAAGCTCCGGTTTGACAGCAGAGGTCTCACTCCGAATCAGTCGAACGGCATTATCTTTTCATCGGCTGTGTAACGCTCTGTAGAAGCTACCTGGTCTGTCACTCCACACGAAGCTTTGGGTAATCTCGGCCACGATCATGCTCGCCCTTCTCTATGCTTATGAAACGTGGACCCCCCCTAATGGAACATCTTCGCCGGTTAGAATCATGTAGGTTGAGATTCCTAGGGTCCTTTCTGGGTTTAATCAGGCTCGATTGTGTGAGGAGCTCACAAATCCTTGAAAGATCTGGGCAAAGTCCCATCGGTGAGCTCCTCCAGCAGGCAAGGTTGCATTGGCTGGGTCAT